TCTGTATTGATCCCTCTCCCATAACCAAAATGTCCCTTCACCATACAGAAGAACCGGTTGGATAGCAGCAGCAGCATACACTGGAGTCTTCAAGGAAGACTGAATGTCATGAGGGCCACAAATTGGCAAGCAACAACTGTGTCACAAAATTCCATGTAGACTTCTTCAGACAGATGATATCCAGCTGTGCCATTGGTAAACTTAATCGCTCTCTGTTGCCTAAATTGAATCCTCAGATAAGGACAGAGCCATTTGGAACTCATAATCTTTACACTGTAATAAAGAGCAGGAGAGAAAGCAATCTTGACGAATACCGCTTTCTGTCGTGCCCCCAGCGAAAAATATTCGTAAGTTTGAACTCGGTTTCAACCACTCGTACGGAAGGATCGTTACAGTGAAATAAACGTATCCGGCAGGGACCGGTAGCATCTCAGTTTCGTACGGTTGATGAAATGTATGTTCCATAAATAAAAAAGAATATATTGTCGATACAACCTCACCTAGGTCTACAAACTAGCCTGGTTCCCACAGATACAACATTCGCATGCGGCAGGTACTTGACGGAATATGATAACACAGACCTAATTTAGGTGATTTTCATCCAGCCAATTCCTTTATGGTTGCTTGGTGACAGCACGGATACACGTCATGCAACTGAAACCTGTTCACTTTTCCCTACCAAGCCAAGGGGTTTCATCAACTTCAAAACTAAAATGGAAACTCCGTCCCGAAAGCGGGATGGAGCCAACCAACCCTGTGCAGTTGCCTAATATTTCTCCACGTTACTTATGTCCCAGGACCTTTCATAGTCCCGCTTGAGGCAAAAGTTGGAAAAATTAATGACGATGCAGGCTGGTTTAATTGCACCCTCAAATATGAATAGTAAAAATTACCACCCGGCTTTGGATCCGCACTCCCAATTAGACGGAAAGTCTGGCGATAGTTACCAATAAACACAGCATTCTTTATCTGTCTACATTTGCCACCCACCGCTTTTACGGGTCATTTCTCAGACTCCTGGTGAGTTAGCATTTTGGAGATTTGCACGTAGTGTCACATATGGTATCAGAAGTGACTGTTCTGCAAGCGTCCAACGGAGAGCGGGAGGGGTCAACGCAAGGCATTGTTTGTGCTTTGGTTGTGTGCTTGCACACGCCATTGCTGAAATAGATGCTCGAATTATCTCTTTGATAAGTTGCTGATTTGCAATCATATTGAGACCATTAAAGAATGGTGCATTGATTTTGCTGTTATATACAGGTGTATCCGGAGTTCTGGTGCACTAAATAGTCAAATAGCCCAAGTCGAATTCTCAGTTTTACTACGGCAGGCAACCAGTGGTCAAAAATTGAAAATCATTAGCGTAGATGTCTGCGTAGCCTGAACCAAGCTTTGATGCAGTAGTGATTGACGACTGTGTCAACCCCGTTAACTAAGCTGCCCCTAGAACATCTCACTACTATCTGCATCACAGTCAACGCATAGATTGATACACACACACACACACACACACACACCGGATAGAAACTGCGTGCGTATACGCTTTTGCACTAGGGCTTAGTTTAAGTTGCGCAGCTACGAACACGTTTTAACTAAGGCTTGTGTCTACAGCAATAAAACAGAGAATTCCATTTGGGCCGTTTGAGAACTTGATTGTTTACCTATAAATTTGACTGAAAAGGACATGGAAGTGATTAAGATGCGATCTTATCTGGTAAGAATGACTGGAATAGGATAGACGTGCACAAATAAGCGAATATGACTATACAATGACAGAGTACGGTTTCTGCGGCCAGTCAGAGTTTGCATGGGGTAATGCGTGAATTAATGAATTTCCGGTGTTGACTGGACTCGAACTCGCGACCTCCGGGTCACCGTAATTGCGACCTTCATCATTTGAGTACCGCCGTTTTCTGCACACTAACAGAGGTGTGTGTGTAGTTGAAATGACAGAAATCACCGCCGTCTTTGTTAACTAAGCGTTATTGGTTTTGATGTAATCAGATGGTTTTAATGTTTTATTTTATCATATATTTTTCGTAGTTGTAGGATCGTCATCTCCGGGTTCATATTTTGAGCGACTTATTATAATTGGTACTAGATTTTGAGTTCCTGTGAGGTGTAGCGAATAGCTTGAAATCTCCGCGCTCGTTATGGATACCCGCAATAAGTCATTAAGTGCGATTTTTGGTGATTAGAGTATGCCTCTTAGGAATCCGACTACCTTTCCTAATGCGATGTGTCTCTCGCTCTCAGGTACTTCTCTGATTGACCATATATCAGTTCCTGAAAACCGACTGTAACGTTTTATATTAGAATAATAAAAAATTGAAGTGCAATTACGAGAAAAATTTACACCTATGCTCTGTTGCAAATTTGATATGACAATGCATTTTTAATGGTGATAGTCCGGGTTCATCAAAGTCAAGACGGTGGTCGCACTCATAGAGCTTAGCACAGCGTTGGAAGCACCTCTGGATTGGTGCGTTTCGTGCGAGTTCACCGTGAGCAAATTGACGGCTTGATTGAAACTCTGCGGGCGTCCGTAAACACAAGCTTCGCGTATCATTCAGACGCATTTCCCTCTGATTTTGACCAGATGGCAGTTCTCCACGAATCTTTGTGTGAGATGTGCTGCTGTTTTCGTGGTGGCGGTGGTAGTGGTGGTGGTGTGAGAGGAGGGAGTTGGAATGGTAGTCGTAATGACGAAACGTTTTCTCTCTCTCTCTCTGTGATCACGTTCAGTCCAGCTTCACTCAGTCCCCTGCTGTCCGTTGGTGTGTGTGTGTGTGTACGTGTGATGCGGACACCGTTTATTAGTCCCCTGAGTTCACCTCAGCCATTTGTCCGTGTTTGATTTTCTTTCGTTCTCGAGTTCCAAGAGGTACGCTGATGACCCGAATCCAGGCCTTGTTTGTGTGTGTCCGGTATTCACACTGACCTCAGTTTCCTTGCCTACTTTCCGGTCACATTTGACTCCAATATCCATCCACAGCGAGTGAGTGATAGTAGTTTAACAAACGCACACAGGTACCGAAAAAGACTCATTCAATGGATCCCGAACATTTTGCCCATGTGACCAAAGCTGAACCGCTGATATATTGAAACTTGAAGGGTGAAGTAATTCGGCCCTGTTGTATGCATCTGTAACCTGATGTACTGTTCAACGATATAAACTATAAGTTTATTCCGTATTGTACCAGTTGAGATGCAACGGAATCAGTCCAGGCATAAATCGTGCAACCTAGCTTCATTGATAGGTTGTTTGTAAGAAGTAGTTGAGCCAGAGTGATTTTATTTCACTTTAATCACTCATTCCATATGCAAGGCTTAAAATAAAATTGGACACCAACTGATTCCCCCCAGTAATCAAATGACGATTTATTTTATTCAGGCTACTAATCCGTTTGACTACATTTTTACCACTTTATGTGCGTTTGTTTGTTTGTCACTGCTCTTGCGAGATCGAAGCACGCTTTGTTCCGACGAAACCGATGAACATGGCTGCACCTGGGGTTCGAACCTGTACCCTTCGTACTAGTCAACCTTCATACACCCCCGCTACCCTATTAATCGAATAAGATCACCGTTCTCTTTTGTACTCTACCCCTCCCACCCCCGTGAGGTGCCACGT